ATATGTTTATATATTATATATTATATATATATATATATGTGTGTGTTGTGTGTGTGTGTGTGTGTGTCGTTGTGTGTGTGTTGTGTGCGTGTGTGTGTGTGTGTGTGTGTGTGTGTGTGTGTGTGGTGTGTGGTGTGTGGTGTCGTGGTGGTGTTGTACTAACCTATTTGTGGTTGCAGGGGTCCTGGCCCCGCTTCTATGCTGGTCGCTATAGGTCCACTTCTCCTAGTACAAGAGCTTTGGCATACCTTTTCCTGAAGCTCTGTATGGATCCCGCCTGTATAAATTTCACTCTCCAGATTATTCCATTCCTGACTTTAAGGCTGAGAAATATTTTCTTGACATCCTCTGATGTCTGTGCTTTCAACTTCCAGTTTTTCCCTTACTGTTCCTATTTCCCATCTATGAAAACATTCTGTTCATGTTCCCCTTGTTAAACTGTTCTCAGGATTTTTACGTCTTAATCATATCCGCCCTTAGTTATCTTCCATTCGTGTCATCAAGTTGAGTTCCCTTAACCTCTCCTCTTAGCTTCGAGATTAGTTTGTTGCAAACTCGGCACTTTCTGAAATTTCTGATGTGCTTGATTAGGTGTGGGTTCCTTACTGGTGCTGCATACTTCATATGGACCTGGCGTACACGGTGTAAAGCTAGCGTCGTGAATGTCTCCTTGCTTAGATGTCGAAACGCTATTCTTAGATTTGCCAGACGCACATTTGCTGTAGCAGTTTTTTTGGTTGAGTGCAACTAGGGATTTATGTCGTTATGGGATTCCCCCAAGGTCCCTTTGAGTGCGGTATGCAGGCTTTGCTCCCGAGCCTGTACTCCGTTTGGCTATATTCTTTGACCTTTCCCAAGCTTCAGTAACTTTCATTTGATGGGTTAAACTGTACGAGCTATGCTACAGGACCGTAGCCTTGTCCTTATCCTCTTACTTGTATTTTCCTCATTAATTTCAGTCGTCTACAAACAGGATACCTCTGACTCTAGTCATTCTATAAGGTCACTGACGTATACAAGTAACAGCACGGCCCTAGGAAACTGATCCTTGTGGAAACCCTACTCGTCTTGCACAATTCCGACAGCTCGTCAAGGACCAACACTCGTTGTTCCTTCCTACCATGGTATTCCTGATCCATTGTATGCTTTTCCGTTATTCTTGCTGCTCCTTCTAGCTTTTATACCAGGTCTCTTGTTACTGTTAAAAGTTTTCTACAAATCAAAAAAACGCAATCTGCCCATCCTATCTTCATGCATTCTTCTGTTACTCTATCATAGAACTCAGTATCGTTTTGTGAAAAGGATTTTTCATCCTGAAGCCGTTCTGGTTATCACGATGAAACCCTCTCCTTTCTAGGGCTCACCACCCTTCTCCTGATAATATCTCCATGACTTTACATACCATACATATTGTGCACTACTCAAAAACAAGCGGACGGAGATGTAAAACAACACGGGGAGTTGACTGATAGCTCTAGGGGCTTCGAGTTGCAAAATCAACAAATCTCTAGCTTGCAAAGTTGCACAAATGGAGGGTTTTTTCCTTAGTTTGCTGCTTCACCATTTCTTTGTATGTGATGGAATTTTCTCTATAACAAGACAGATACCTTTCAGATCAGAATATTAAAGTCTTATACTGATACGATATGAGAACTGACAGCAGGGACTGACACCATTTAAGGGGGTGACACTATAGAGCCTGGAAAGAAGGTAAACACTAATGACCAAAACCATGCTGCAGCAACCTAAGAGAAAAATCCTTCGTTTTCTTATAGCCTCTATTATAGGAATACAGAGTACAAATAGGCCTGTAGGGAAAATCATTGATTTTAATGATATGATAGTTGATTTTGCAGGACGAAGGCAAGGGAATGTAAGATCAGATTGCACTGAGATGTTAAATCTTGGAAGGAATGGTCCAAATCAGGCACACTGAAATCAATCCCTACGAAGTAAAAAAAAGACTGGGCAGGCGATGCAAAATGCCGCCAATAAAATAGTTAGTGGGGCCATTGGTACACTAAGAGAAAAACACCATAGAGTGTCCGGGGGCCCAAAAAACTGTTCAACTGCCTCCATCAAGCATTTAGGGGAATTGCCAATAAGCCTTGCTGCCTTTCAAGAGAGAGCTGGACCGATACCTAAAGTCAGTGCCGGATCAGCGGGCTGTGGCTCGTACGTCGGACTGCGTGCGGCCAGCAGTAAAGCTAGTTGATCAGGGCCTGAACCATCGGGAGCCTGGTCATGGACCGGGCGCGGGGCGTTGATCCCCGGAATAACTCCAGGTAACCTCCAGGTAACCGGAACTAGTGTTTTCTTTGTTTTCAAGTTTTCTTTTTTTTTCATTGTTGAAGATGAATTAATGTAGATCTGTTTGCTTTACTCAAATTGGTATTTGTGTTTGTTTCCTCGATATTACTACGATTATTTATTTTATTATTATTAAAGCTCGGTTTATGGCCTTTAAAAAAACGTTCTCATGCTAAAACATTCGTCATGGTCATGCAGCAGTGATGTAATGGAGTTTACTACCTATCCCCCCGCCTTGGTTTCATGGGGGTGGACACCAAAGATGCCCACCCTGGGGACACCAAAGATTCCGCCGGGTGACAACCCAACCTAGCGGCGCCTTCTGACTGACAGCATGTTGGTGATAGTTGTCATGTCCACTAATGCTAGGTGGTCGCTGGTCATTGCCTAAATATTTAATGTTGATGGGCTTCTACCTGCTTCAACTTTCTGTTTTTAATATTCTGCTTTCTCTTTCTGGCACCTGGGCACTGGTCTGCCGGGATGCCATCTCATTCTAGCTAGAGTATTTCTCTTGAAGTATCGACATGGACTACCTACCATTTTGCAACACTGCATGATTGATTATGAAAGGTTAAAAAATACAACATACTTATAAGAAAGGAAAAAAGATCTATACAGAGAGATCCCAATCTATTGTAGAACCTAAATGTTCATTATGATGGGATAGTAAACACAAAGGAAAACAAAAAGTTTGCCGTCAGAGAAATGGGGAAACAAAATCCTAAAAATTTCTACTCATATTCCAGTCTTTGTCAAAACCGCCTTTAGAATTGGCTCATACTCCCAGGAGGTTCATTTCCGATGACGAAACGAAATAGAAATTAAGCGAAACTTTGAAACGGCTAATATGATGCAGTGTTCAGCAACCCACTAAGCGAAGCAGAATAGAAATATCCAGCTTTTTCCACTACTCTTGCTCACCTACAAACCTTATACCTGACATAAGAACAACTTTCCCAGAATTCGAGAAGGAACTAGAAATGTTCCGCCACAAGCAGCAATCAGCACCTGCTTGTTGGCAACTCTTTATTTACAGATAAATGCACAATTCTATGCTGGAGGCCACTCAGGCATTCTTGGTGAAAGAGCTTTGATTAAATGAAATTGGTAGGGTCCAAAACATGCAGACAATAGCTCCTCTGAACAACAGAGGCCAC